AATAATAATGAACATATTACATAATATTAGAAACATAATTTTTATGTTAAACTTTTATAAATTAAATTATTAATGTTAATATTAGGAATGTGTTTTCATTAGATTGTACATTTGTTAATATGCATCTTGCTAAAGAAAATGTTATTAGTGTTAGTAATGATAACATATTATTATAATTAATTATTCATATTATGTATCATTGCATATTATAAATGTTAATTACTAATACTCCTTATAACTTCTGATGTTATTAACACATTGTAATAATGATAATAATTATAATTATAATAATGATGCATATTAATATTAACATGTGCTGCATATTAAAATTTCTCATAAATGTTAGCTACATGTATTATTATTATTAATAATAACAATAACAACAAAAATAATAGTAATTATTATATTAATAATAATAACACACATTTTTTTTATTTATTGCTGTTGTTATTGTTATAACAATAATTATTAGTATAGTAATAATAATAATAATGTTTATAATGATATTTTTATTAATACTACTACTACTACTACTACTACTACTATTATCAATAATAATAATAAAAATAATAATAAATATTATTATTATTGTCATTTTCTATTAATTTGAATAGATTTTAGACATAGTTTTAAAAATGTAAGTACATTAAGTCAATACTCTCAGTACTAATAATAACATTTTAATGTTTATATATTTGTAACTAATTCTGTTGCTGTAATACGTTATCAACCTTATAAGGTTTTGTGATTGTGTGTGTGTGTCTTTGCTGAGTCAATGCTGTTTTTACATCATTCCTCTTACTCCAAACACTGATCCGTCTGTCCATTGTCAAAAACGTTTTTTTTTTTTTGCTTTTAACTCTAGTTACTCGTGCGTTTTAGTTAAAACACTCCATCATACTGTGTATGAGAGCATATATGAGTGTGCCCTCAGGAGGTCTTCATGTGCAGTCTGCGCTCAAGTGTTGATAGGACCACCGGAGCGGCATCTCAAGACAATCTGATATCCTCGCCGGGACCAAAATTTGACCTCACTCACAAACAGGCCTTTATTGTGTGCTAAAACTCTGATTTGTGGTCCGCCTCAGGCCATGTACGACACATTATCATCAGTAAAAGGACACGCTAAAAGGACTACTTGAAGCTTTGCCCCATCGCTCCTCTTTATTTTTCATCATTAGCTCTTACTTAATGCTTTTTGCCCAATTTTTAGCTTCTACAAAGTCCTTTTTGTTCATTTCCCCCCCTGGCCCATTTTCACGGTAGCTTAGCAACAGGCTAATACTGGTGTTTAATGTGGTTTCCTGAAGGATGTCAGTCACGCTTAGCTATTGTGTTTTACTTACGACAGGGGTGTCCAAACTCAGTCCTGGAGGGCCGGTGTCCTGCATAGTTTAGCTCCACACCTGCCTGGAGCTTTCTAGTATACCTAGAAAGAGCTTGATTGGCTGGTTCGGGTGTGTTTGACTGGGGTTGGAACTAAAATATGCAGGACACTGGCCCTCCATTATCGAGTTTGGGCACCACTCACTTAAGGTTTTCTTGTTTTGTATGATTAATGCAATAGACAAACTCCCAACCTTAGTCACACGGGTTCCTGGTTGCAAAAGGAGACCGGTTGCAATAGCAAACATGTCGTGTTGTGCGGTAGGATACCAAATTCGAAAACGTTACTTTTACCATGGGCGAAGCAGTGGCGCAGTAGGTAGTGCTGTCGCCTCACAGCAAGAAGGTCGCTGGGTTGCTGGTTCGAGCCTCGGCTCAGTTGGCTTTTCTGTGTGGAGTTTGCATGTTCTCCCTGCGTTCGCTTGGGTTTCCTCCGGGTGCTCTGGTTTCCCCCACAGTCCAAAGACATGCGGTACAGGTGAAATTGGTAGGGTAAATTGTCCCTAGTGTATGAGTGAATGTGTGTGGATGTTTCCCAGAGATGGGTTGTGGCTAGAAGGGCGTCTGCTGTGTAAAAACTTGCTGAATAAGTTGGCGGTTCATTCTGCTGTGGTGACCCCGGATTAATAAAGAGACTAAGCCGACAAGAAAATAAATGAATGAATGAACTTTTACCGTACACCACACTGCGTTTAATGCCAACCTCCGTTGTTTTTGGCTAAAAGGGAGCTGAATGGAGTGAGGGACCTAATTAAAAATTAGGTCACATCACTCGTTTTTCATTGAAGCAATAATTTCAGCAAAAACAGGAAATATAGTGAATTAAACTGTCGACACTGAATGCTAAGAATGAAAAGTGAAAGTGTAAGTTATTAAGGTAAAGTTGCTTTTATATTTACACATTCGTTCAGTGACAACTTGTGACACACTCCCTATATTGTTTACCACGGCACTTTGATTATTCGCTCTGAAGTAACCTGCAAGTGTGACTTGAAAACAACATTAGCATTTATTTGACTGTGAACAATGTTGTGCTTTGATAGTCATTGGCTGCTAATATGATTTCGCTATTTAGAGTTTGTAAATAATACTTTTATAAAATTAAATTATTAAGGAGAAAGTCAGAATGTGCGAATATAAAACCAACTTTACCTCTATGTGTAAGTTCACATACCCTGCCGTACAGGTGTAGTTCGCTATCAGAATGCAGTTGTTTTGCTTGTTGATGATTACCCAGGTCTCGTACAGCTTCTTCTTTTTTCCTTGTCTTTGGCAGAACCTCTGGTTTTTAGCTTTTACATAGTTTTGAATCTGGTTATCATGGAACATTATTTCTTGCACATGACCACACAGAACAAAATTGTAGGCATCCAAAGATTTGTAAGCCTTTAAAGGGTCATGACACCCGCCACTTTCGGTTCAGGTTTTCTTCACAATTTTTTTAAAAGATACATCATGATGGGCGTGGAGCTCCGCGAGCAAAGGGCAGGAGTGGGCGTGGCCAGCAGAGCAGGGGAGAAAGAGGGAAGCGAACAACTGTTGTCAGTTAGCTCACAAAATGAGACACAAATCGTGATGAGACGCATGATTTTATAGCTTACAAAGTTAAAATGCAAAAAAATAAGCCGTAATTTAATGCCCTGCTACATTTGTAATTTCATATACAGATGACCACAATTAATACATTTATAATCGTGTTCACATAAACACTATACATTAAACACTAATAGTATATTTGGGGCTGGATGCTTGGCCATTTCGTCTTATCCAATATCCGTTGGGAGGGTGCTATTGCAAATGGACCTGTCAGACGAACGCCGCTCGCTTTAATGTTCATTTTGCAGAATAACTGTGCTTATCACTGGGAAACAAGCTGGTATAATACACTGAAAGCATTGTGTAAATAATTCATCAGAATGTTTTCATCAGAAACATCTACCTTCTGCCACTTTTCAAAATGATCAACTAGAAGTCGAGCTATTATTTGTTGCTCTTACAATTGGGATCGACAACAAGACTTTTTGTCAGGTAGTGTATGAAAATAAGGTGTATATGACTTTTCAGTAGCCCCTTTCACACATACAGACCTTTCCGGAAAATTGCCGGCAATTTTCCGGAAAGGTTGTATGTGTGAACAGGTCCTTTTTGAAAATAACGGTAAATTCGTTCTGGCTATTTTCCGGAAAGAGAAGTTGTAACATTACCGGCAATTTGTCGGAATGCTGCGCTGTGTGAATGCAGAAGAAAGATTGACGTAATAAGCGTGTGCACGTCTAGAACTTGCTGACGTGAAACGTCTGCTTTAGCCAATCACAACAGTCAGATGCATTTACGTCCGCGCGGTTTGTGAGAATAAAAGCCTTTAAATATTTTTCCAGACACATTTAGCTGCTAGAAGTTAGTCAGATCACGTTTATATGTTCTTCTTAACGCCAACTGTGTAAATAGTCATCGATGAGATGCTTATGATAAGCCGTTGTTTGTTTACCTTCAAGCTTTGCGTGTCCCTGTGAAACAGCCTGTGAGCGCCTGCACACGCACATATTATGAACATCTCGACATGCGAAAGTGATCCTGCATATGTTTTCATTGAAGTTGTTCACAATACTGATCATCCACAGAGTTTGTAATGTAGTCAAATGTTTACAAATACAAGCGCAGCCGTTTAAAGCTCATTTGTGGTGAATGATGTCAGAATTTACCGGTATTTTGAAATGGATGTGTGAATGCTCTTTTCCGGAAAATTCCCGTAACGTCCTCGCCTGTGTGAACAGCGCTTTTTTGAATATACCGGTAAAGTAGTTCCGGAAATTTTCCAGATATTTACCGGTATCACTGTGTGAAAGGGGCTAATGTCAGACAGTCTCTCTTTCATTCTATATTATGGTGTTGGATAGTGATTTTTTTTTTTTTTTGAAGCACATAAACCTGTTGTTAAACTAACCCATACTCTGTCAGGTGGTTGATGCATGTCTTATGAAGCGGATCCATGCATTTTTAAAACAGAAATATTCATTCATTCATTCATTCATTCATTTTCCTTCGGCTTAGTTTCAGGGGTTACCACAGCGCAATGAACCGCCAACTATTCCAACATATGTTTTCCGCAGCGGATGTCCTTCCGGCTGCAACCTAGTACTGGGAAACACCAAAACACTCTTACATTCACATACATACACTACGGACAGTTTAGTTTATTCAGTTCCCATGTAGCGCATGTGTTTGGAAACCGGAGCACCCGGAGGAAACCCATGCCAACATGGGGAGAGCATGCAAACTCTACACAGAAATGCCAACTGCCACAGCTGGGACTCGAACCTGTGACCTTCTTGCTGTGAGGCGACAGTGCTAACCACTGATTGACCGTGCCACCACTACTTAAACTTATAAAGTCAATTTTGTGCCACATTTATTTGAAAAATGTGAAATAAATTGAGAAAAAAAGACTAATTTAAAATAATTTAAAGTCGACTCCTTCTAAAACAATGCCTTAAATAATCAAAGTAATGCCCTTTTAGTTCTGTGCAGAGGAAATGCCAAAATTCACATGCTTTTGAAAGTCAACAGATTCTTATGTAGGTGTGTATGTGTGTCTCTGTGCGTGTTATTTGCAGAAAGGCGAGGTGTCAGGTCCACTGGTGTCTGAAGACGGCCGAGAGCAGCTGATGTTTGAAGTTCCTCTGAATGACTCGGGCTCAGCTGGTCTGGGGGTCAGTCTGAAGGGTAATAAGTCCCGAGAGACCGGAGAAGACCTGGGCATCTTTATCAAGTCCATCATCCACGGCGGTGCTGCAAACAAGGTAAAGAGCAGCCAGAGTCAGCGCTAACCATCCAACTAGTCATTCATCTGAGAGCCGCGATAATGAAAGCCACTTAAAGCCTGTGTGTGTTAGCACAGAACCACACACACTTCTGATTTACTCCAGTAAAGCAGTTAAACTACTAAAAACCTTTCGAAAAGTAAACGTGTTACAGTCATGCTTTCATAAATGATGTGACATTTATTTATGTATTTATGTAAGATTTTATTCTTATTTAAAATCAGCTTTTTATGTTTGTTTTATTAGACATTTAGATTTAAGTTGTTTTGTTCTATGCCTTTGTTTTTAATATCTCGTTTAACTTTTATTTTAATTGAGTTCAGTTTTATGCCAAATTAACTTTAGTAAATGCATTAATTCAACTTATTTACTTATTATTGTTAGCTGCAGGGATATTTAGGTCTACATTTAGTTTCACATCATTGATTAGTTGCTGCGTATTTTTCTTTTATATTTATGATTTGAATTAGTTTTAAATTATATAATATATGTGTTTTTATTTTATAATACTTTTTAATTATATTTTTATTATTTACTTTTAATTAAAGTTTTTACTAGAATTTTTGTGACATTTAATTTTGTTTTCTGACATTTAAAAATGTGAGAGTGCTGTCATTTTTTTATTTTAAAAATGATCTCAATATTGTTTATTTTTATTTGTGTTATTGTAGTTTAAAGATTAGTGCAATCAAAAGGAACATCTCTGTTTTTTGATTTAAATTTTAATTTTAGTGACTAGAGAGAAGACAAAAGTTTTATTTGATTATATATATTTTTTTCAGTAAAGTTTTTTTTTAAATGCACTAAAATTATCATTTTATTTATATAATATGTTCCTATTTTATTGCATTTGTAATTATTATTAGATTATCTAGTATATCTGACATCCAAAAAAATTTATAAAAAAAGCCAGTCACAGTTATTGGTTTCACATATATTCAAATTAGGTTTCACATTATTGAGTAATTGTTGAATTTTTGTATTGAAGGTTTAAGTTTGTCTTTAATTTTATTATTATTATTTTTAATTATTTTGATTTTATTAGACTTTTTGTGAAATTTGCTACATTTTTAATGCCGTCATTTTTATTGTTAAATTTCTCGCAATAGTTTCATTTTTATTTGAGATTTTTTTTGTTTTGTTTTATGATTAAGATTTTGTCCTTTTTAGTCGTTTTTTTTAGATGTCTGTGTATTTTTCTAAAGTAATATAACGTTTTTCTTTTAAGTGATTTTAGAGTGACGACAAAAGTTTTATTAGATTTCTATTTTTTTTTAGTTGTTATTATTTTTTTAAAAATGCACTAAAACGATTTTTATTTATAAATTATGTTCATATGGCTATTGCATTTCTTTAAGGTTATCTAAAATACTTGTACCAAAAATGTAAAATACTAAGGAAAAAATATTGGTAAAAAATGCCAGTCATGGTAATTGGTTTCATTCATTAATTCATTTTCTTGTCGGCTTAGTCAACTTTATTAATCTGGGGTCGCCACAGCGGAATGAACCGCCAACTTATCCAGTGTGTTTTTACGCAGCGAATGCCCTTCCAGCTGCAACCTATCTCTGGGAAAGTAATTGGTTTCACATATTTTCAATTTCTCTGTATGAAATTATCATTACTATTTTTTAGTTTCACATTGTCAAGTAACTTGCATTTGTTTGTATCTGTGCTTGGAATTAGTTTTAGGAAAAAAAACATATACATTTATTTATATATATATTTATAATTTTTTTTGCAATTTATAATTTGTTCTAAAATTTCATAAATCTTTGATTTTTTTTGTTACTTTTCTCAATTTTATAATGCTGTCATTTTTGTTATTTTAAATTTTATCACAAAATTGTTTTATTTGACTTATTTTAGTTTTAAAATTAAAATAATAACTTTACGTTTGGTGACTTTATATTGAAGACAAAAGTTTTATTTGATTATATATATATATATATATATATATATATATATATATATATATATATATATATATATATATATATATATATATATATATATATATATATATATATAGTTAATGTTTTTTTTTTGTAAATACACTAAAATGACTTGTATATTATGTACATATTGCTATTGCATTTGTACAAAGATTTTCCAAGATTTTTCACATCCAAAAATGTACAATGATAAGGAACAGTATTGTGTCGATGCACTAACCTCTAGGATATTGGTTAAAACAGTCATTTACAATAATTAGTTTCACATATTTAATAATAATTTTTCATCATTTTCCATTTCCATTTTTTTTTTTTTTTGCATATTTTCCATTTTTAGTCTGTGTGTGGCAATAATACAAATCTTCATTATTATGCGTAATGTATATTACTATGTGCGCATTGTTATTCACCCCACAATGGCTCGAAAAAGACTCTATTTTTGTATCGTGTTAGGGTTTGTCATCTTATTTCGGATTCTGTTTGGATCTGTTATTATAGGTGAAGCGGCAGCGAGATACGAATGCTCCTCTGCTGTCCTCAATCAGTCCAGTCAGGCAGCAGGTGTTGTGTCTGTGTGCAGATAAGAGCGCGTCTACTGTTCACTATCTGCACTGTAATCAAGACTGAGCTCACAGGTGGAGCTGCGTCTCTGGCCTCTATCAGCACTCCACTGAAGAGTGGGCTCCCTGAGCGAGCTGCATCACAAGACCCCATCTCACAAAATAGACATTTCCAGAGGCTGAGCTCTTCATTTGACTTTAGCTGTTTACTCTTATCACTCACTCCCACTTTGTTGCTTTTCTAGCGTTTACTCTGAAGATGGGATATAACATGAATAGGTCTTAAAAACGGTGTGCACGATTTCTACAGGGCTTTTGCTGGTCTTAAAAATTTGTAAATTCCTTTTATTTAGTAAATTAAGGCTTTTAAAGGTCCCCTGAAATAAAAAATAAAGTTTTTTAGATGTTAGTATCAGTATGTTAGATTAAGGTAGCTTTCACATCTGTGGTTTGGTTCATTTGGTCTGGACCAACGGCAACAAATCATACATTGTAGAATTTTTCTGCCGTTTTTTGGTCCTTTTCACACCACACTGATTGCTTTGGTCTGAACCAGTAGAGGAATTACCAACATACGTCACACATGACGTCACACATGACGTCGCACTGGTTCCCAGTTGGAATAGCAAACATGTCGCGTTGTGCGATAGGATGCCAAATAAAAAACTTAACTTTTACCCTACACCACACTGCTTTTAATTCCAACTGCAGACGTCTTTGGCTAAAAGGGAGCTGAATGGAGTGAGGACCTAATTAAAATGGCTCCACTCTGTAGTTCTCGTTTTATATCAGGTAAGCTCACGCTATGCAGAATCAGACACATCACTCGTTTTTGATTGCAGCAATGATTTCAGCAAAAACAGTTAAATATGGTGAATTAAAGTGCAGACACTGAATGCTTAGAATGAAATGTAAAGATGTAAGTTCACATACCCTGCCGTACAGGTGTAGTTCGCTGTCAGAATGCAGTTTTGCTTGTTGATGATTACCCAGGTCTCGTATAGCTTCTTCTTCTTTCCTTGTCTTTGGCAGAACCTCTGGTTTTTAGCACTACATAGTTTTGAATCTGGTAATCATGGAACATTATTTCTTGCACATGACCACACAGAACAAAATTGTTGGCATCCAAAGACTTGTAGGCCTTTAACTTTTCTCTTGTAAAAGCACTTGGAGCTTCAATGAGATTGAATTTTTCGGGCTGGATGCTTGGTCATTTCATTTTATCCAGTATCCATTGGGAGGGTGCTATCGCAAATGGACCTGTTAGACGAAAACGCTCACTTTAACATTTATTTTGCCTTATAACTGTGTTAATCACTAGGTGACTATCTGTTATAATACGCTAAAAGCATTATGTGAATAATATATGTAATATCTAATCAATATAACTTATTTCTAAGACACCAACAAACTCTGTACCGCATCGGATGTCATTCCCTCGCTGTAAATGCTAGCGCTTTCGTTTTTTCTGCAGCCTCGCTGCGCGCATCCTGTATGTTTACAAACATGGTAATTTGTGCAAAAAAAAAAGTAAAAAAAAAACAGTGGATAAAACCTGTCGCTAAAAATAAAACCTGTCGCTAAAACCGACCACGTAATTTATTCTTTCGAGCTTTGTTTCTTCAGAGCGTATCTAAGTTCTGTTGCATGGTTGTGCTCCATTCATTTATTTAACTACAACTGTTTATTAACAACTGTTTATTAAGTTAAAGGTTTGATACTGATTAAAACTTGAAGTGGCGATGAGGTCTGAAAATATTCTGAGAGGGTCTTTAAAAAGTCCTAAAAAGGGATTAACATTTAATTTAGGATTCCTGCATGTTCATTGTCATATTAAAAGTTCTTAAGGTGACTATTAAGCTGTGACTATTAAACAAATAGTAAAACAAACATATTTTAAAAGTAAAACATATTTTAAAACCGAATATTAAAATATTTATATCAAGAAGATCATTTTAAATACACTCAAAAAGTGAATTTTCCTACTTGGTCAAACTATTTATTTCAAACGAGCTGAATCAATACAATTCTTGAGGTATTTTTTGTGACAACTTAATTGTTTTTACAAGTGGATTAAACATAAAACAATTAAGTTAAATTAATCGATTTGTTTTGGGGCAACATGAAGGAATTGTGTAGAACCCAGCATTTATTTACACTGCATATTTGAATTGATGGAAGTTGACATCACTCCTGCTGTGTAGTTTGTAAGTAAGTAAGTAAGTAGTTAACAAGCTAATTAAGCTTGTAAGTAAAGACAAACGTGTCGTGGGTTATCTTTGGTGCTCTACATGGGATGCTGTCCTTCAGCTTTGACAAAAATGCAGTCTTGGGTTGTGTCTGCTTGTATATGCATGAGTTTATTTTCTCAATAGACGGGCACAAGTGTTTGTGAGAGGCTCTCAGATCGGCATCGGTGGTCTGTGGTCAGTGACCCACCCAAGGGGTCAGGATCGTCTGCCGTGACACAGACTCTCAGGAGTCTTTAGCGGCTCCAGTGGCTTTTAGCTGCTAATCTCTTTTGTTCCTCCTCAGCAGAGTTTTATTTAGGAAACCACAGCTGCGAGCCTTAATCCAATTCATTCCGGCCCGGCCCGGCTCTTTCACACTAATCATATGCATCTGTAATTGTATCTCAATGCATGGTGGGGTGCATTAAACATTTAACAGTGGGGATACACTGCATAAATGTTTTTAAATCGCTCTATAGGGCTTTAATGTTGGGAGTAGCTGGCTAAACGTCACCATGCTACTAACCTAAATAGAGTGTTATTTAATTTGATTGTTTTTACCACCCTGAAAGCGGTGGTTGAAAACAGCAGGTTCAAAAAAACAATTAATTCACAAATCAGGCTTATAGAAGCTTTAATGCTGTAACCTTAAATTAGAAATGTTATTATATATTTTAGAATAGATTTTTATTTATTTATTTATTTATTTGTACTGTTTTATCTATTATTTTATGTTTACATTTTATTTAAAAAAAATGAATTTTAACAAATACAGTTGAAATCAGAATTATTAGCCCCCCTGAATTATTAGCCCCCCTGAATTATTAGCCACCCTGTTTATTTTTTCCCCAATTTCTGTTTAACGGAGAGAAGATTGTTTGAACACATTTCTAAACATAATAGTTTTAATAACTCATTTCTAATACCTGATTTGTTTTATCTTTGCCATGATGACAGTAAATAATATTTTACTAGATGTTTTTCAAGACGCTTCTATTTAGCTTAAAGGTGCAGTAGGTGATCTTCCACAATGCTAACAGCTTAGCATAAATCTCTGAATCACAGTCCCTCCCCTGCCGTCTAGAGCCACGCCTCCTTAAACACGAGCACAGCCTCGAGAACCCTCTCTCATGTGTTAAAAGCGACTAGTGCTTGTCCAGCAGCGAGCAAGCCGAACTGACATGCTATTTCAGAGAGAATATTAGAGTTGCATGGTAAACAATATAGGGAGAAACTAGGCGGAATAGCACTATTTACTTGTGTTTTGTTTTTAAACTAATTAAAATCTACATTATCGATGCTGTAAAAGGTCCCTTATGAAACTGAAAATACTCTTATCAATCTTTCATCTGAATATTTTAGTGGCTGAACAACACTTCTGTGAAGATATAACCCATTTGTAACAACAACATCTAACGTTACATCAGCTTTGCGTGAAGCTAAAACAGTATTAAAACAGAACATTACCTGTCTAAGAGAAATCCTTCAGACATTGTGTCATCCTTTCTCCAGCGTGCAAAGGTAACTCCAATATTGATTCAGGTTTTTAAAAAGTTTTGATTCAGCAGGTTTTTACCGATCTCTAGCGCCCTCTCTCGTGAACGCACAGCACAAACAGCGGTCGGTGGAGCTGTGTACAAACGGCTGTGCAGTTGTTCAAATCTGCATTTGCTGACAGACAGATTGAGCTACTTATCCGAATTATGAGAGAAGTTGGTCCGACTCTATGTAATTGGATGAACATTTTTAAGTTTTATGCCAGAATATAAAAATACATATGAATACATTTAGATCATTTACTGTAATCATTACTATTAGACTGTAAAAAAAACTTTCAACCAGCTCAACAAAAAATGCTTCTGAAGACAATAACCTACTGCACCTTTAAAGTGACATTTAAAGCAGGGTTCTTGCGGGTGCTGGGAATCCTGGAAAATGCTTGATTTTTAATATAGTGTTTTCAAGGTTAAAAAAAAGTGCTTAGATTTTGGACAAAGTGCTTGAACCTGCTTGAATTTGAATTTGCAGGGCTCGAAATTGTTTTGGTTGCATATGCGCACAATTTTATCTGTGTGACCTCAAAATATATTTGGGAGCATATGTGTGAGTGCATAAATTGTTGTGCGACCAGTTCTCATTGCAAAATGTTTTGTCTTTTCTTGTTTGCAGGATGGTCGCTTGCGGGTCAACGACCAGCTGATAGCGGTGAACAGTGAATCTCTGGTGGGACGCTCCAATCATGATGCAATGGAAACCCTGCGGCACTCCATGTCCACCGAAGGAAACCTGAGAGGAACCATCCAGCTGGTGGTTCTGCGCAGTCTGGAGCGCTCACCTGCTCAGGTATGGCCAGTCCCTGTTCCATACCGATACAGACCGCTTACCCGCAGGGTTTCTGAACCAGGGTTTCTATCCTCTGGCCACCGGTATCAACGCTATAGCCATCACAGGCTCTCATCTGACCTGAAATGGTAGAAGAAAAAGGTTTGGTCCCACTTTATATTAAGTGTCCTTAACTACTATGTACTTACATCAGAAAAATAAATACAATGTACTTAACTGTGTTTATAATGTATTTGAGAACACTTGTGGTGCTCTTGAGTTGGGATAGAGGTTGGGTTATGGACAGGTTTGGTGGCATGGGTAGGTTAAAGGGTGGGTTAAGGGATGGTCAACAGTGTATTTACAAATGTATTTACAAAAGTTAATTACAGATGTAATTACATACATGTTTTTAATCAAGCATAAGTACACAGTAAATACATGTATTTACACAATAAGAACATTGTAACAAACTATTAACTCCTGTGTAAGTACATATTAGTTAAGGCCACTTAATATAAAGTGGGACCAAAGGTTTTAATATCTTTAAAACAGCTATCTATACCTTTGGAGCAGGCGAGGAGAAAAATAGGTGCCAGAACCCATTATGCTGTTTTAAAGGTGTCCTACTATTGGTTTAATCCAGTGGCTCTCAAACTTGTTTTATCAAGTACCACCTCAGAAAAAAATTGTCTCTCCAAGTACCACCAAAATGAGCAGTATTGAAATACAATAGCGTAGTAGGCCCAGTAAAGCAGCTACAACTCTGCACAGTTAAAAAACATGGCAGATTATCTCAGAAATATAGGCTATGTGGCATATAATATACATCATTTTTGATAAATTTTGAAATGTATGTAGCATGTACATGACATTTTTCATTCCTCCGCATACCACTAGAAGGAAGCCTGCGTACCACTAGTGGTACACGTAACACAGTTTGAGAACCACTGGTTTAATCAATTCAAGATAAAAAAAAACAAACAAAACAAAACAAAAACAAAAAACATGTCTTGATATCAAATGCAGAATCAGGGGGGCACTTACTTTTTCACATAGGGCCCAGACAGATTAGGACAGCCTTTTTCCCTTAAGAAATGGAATCACCATTTAAAAATGCAGTTTTGTGTTTATTCTAGTTAGTTTTGTGTTCGTGTTTACGTCAAACATTCAAATCTCTCAGTTAAATATCCAAATAGCTGATTTTCTCTGAATAAAACTTCTATTATATATTGCGGTCAGCTAGATGAGTTGCCGTGTGAAGGATTGAAGGTCATCATGGACATTTAAGGAGGAAGTACTTGAAATTAAATCATTGTATTCATTTATTTTCTTTTGCCACAATGATGATAGTTCCTTTCCTTGTTTTTGCTTGACTTCATTATAATGCACTTTTTCATGCTTCCTGCTTTTGTACTACTAACACTGTGCACATGCATGTATGGTCTTTTACTCTTTTCACTACTTTTTAATGGAACACCTCATTCTTTATGCCTGCTTTTCTTTTGCTTCATTTCTGTATGACTGACTCTACCTTTTTCTAATAAAGAAATCTTAAATCTGCATGCACTCTGTTTCTTTTTAACACCCCAGGCTTTTCTTCCTGAAGAATCTTTTCTGTTTGTTCTGTATGGGGCATGTGGTATTATACTTTTTTTCTTCTTTCAGTTATTGAAAGATTCCTGAGTTTTTCTAAACTAAAATAACTACACCTAAAACTTTCAAACTAAAATACAGCAAGTCTGAGTGTGTTCAATGCTGTTTGGGGTCAATAAGATTTGGGCAACTGATATTTTTCATTTCAGATGCTTAAATTGGAAATGATGTTCTTTTAAATGTGTGACTTGATGAAAATAAAAAGAAGAAGACTTTTTTTGTTCTTTTTCTCAATATTAAATCATTGTATCTGTGACCGGAGTAATGATGCTGAAAGTTTAGCATTCACATAACAGGAAGAAATTACTCCAAAAATACATTTGATTACAAATCAATTAATTAGAAATGTATCATAATATCCCAGTTTTACAGTAGTATTTAGCAAATAAATGCAGCTATGATGTGACAGCTTTCAGAAACATTAAGAAAGATATTACTGACAAATCAACTATTTCTGTCTTGATGTGTACACTACCTGACAAAAGTCTTGTCGCCTGTCCAAGTTTTAGAAACAACAAATAATAACTTGACTTCTAGTAGATAATTTGGTATCAATAGTGGCGTATATGAAAGGCAAAGGCCTCTAGATTACACTTATTTGACCAAAATAAAATATGATCATGCCTTGATTTTTTTGAATGATTTAATTAGGGCAGTAAAGTCTGACTTTGCTTAGACCAGTGGTCACCAAACTTGTTCCTTGAGGGCCGTTGTCTTGTAGATTTTAGCTCCAACCCTAATCAAACACACCTTAACAAGCTAATCAAGGTCTTACTAGGTATACCTGAAAGATCCAGGCAGTTGTGTTGAGGTAAGTTGGAGCTAAATCCTGCAGGGACACTGGGCCTTCAGGACAGAGATTGGTGACCCCTGGCTTTGATAAAAGTCTTATCACTGAACGAAAATAATGTCTAATATAGAATATAAAGTCATGCTGCTATGGAAAAAGAATGAATGTTGTGTCTGACGCCCATGAGCTTGGAGGACTGCATCCACACATCTCTGCAATGAGTCAAATCACTTATCATTAAAGTCATCTGGAATGGCAAAGAAAGCGTTTCTGCAGGACTCCCAGAGTTCATCAGGATTCTTTGGATTCATCTTCAATGCCTCCTCCTTCATCTTACTCCAGACATGCTCAATAATGTTCATGTCTGGTGACTGGGCTGGCCAATCCTAGAGCACCTTGGCCATCTTTTGCTTTCAGGAGCTTTGATGTGGAGGCTGAAGTATGAAAAGGAGCGACATCCTGCTGAAGAATTTGCCCTTTTGTGGTTTGTAATGTAATGAGCAGCACAAATGTCTTGATACCTCAGGCTGTTGATGTTGCCATCCACTCTGCAGATCTCTCACACGCCACCATACTGAATGTAACCCCAAACCATGATTTTTCCTTCACCATGCTTGACTGATTTCTGTGTGAATCTTGGGTCTAATAGGTCTTCTGCAGTATTTGTGATGATTAGGATGCAGTTGAACAGATGATTCATCTGAAAAATCGACCTTCCGCCACCAAGTCCAGTTATAATTTGTTGCTTTTACAACTGGGATCGGCGATAAGACTTTTGTCAGGTAGTGTAGTGTTTACTAAAATTATTTATAAATAATCCAACATATTATACTGGATATCATGTGACCCAACATCTGATTGTATTTAAGTATTAGAGCACATAATAAGCTATATAATACAGACTATTTGAGAAAAAAGTACACATTTGCTAACGGTAAATGTTTACATTTACCAAACTCTATGCTATCTGTATACTTGTTTAAACAGTCAAAATTGTTGCCCCTTCATATTTTATTTCAAAGTTTAAGTTTAACAAAGTACATTTTTACAACCCACTTCTAAACATAATCATTTTAATATCCAATTTCCTTTGTTTTTGCTCTAATGACAGTATATTATATTTTACCAGATATTTTTTTAAGATACTAGTATTCAGCTTAAAGTGCATTTTAAAGGCTTAACTAGGTTAACTTGTCAAGTTAGGGTAATAATGCAAATTATTGGATAACAGTTATTTATTCTGTAGATAATCAAATAAAAAACATTTCATTCTTAAGGGGGCTAATAGTATTAACTTTAAAATTTGCTCACAGAACAATTAAACAGAAAATACTGTGAAATTTTCTTCTGTTTAACGTGTGTGTGTGTGTGTGTGTGTGTGTGTGTGTGTTTGTATATATAACAAACCTCTATATGATTTTAATAATGTGGCTATATATCTGTGTTTGTTTGAATTGTGGTTGTACTTATTGGACGAGAGCACAAATGTTGGATTCTCTTCTTCCGTTGTCAGCTTTACAGTTTCTCTGTTTTTCAGGGGGTCCGCCATGTTCACTGGGCACCCCCTTTTATTAATGTGGTGGTAAGTTTAAGCAGGAGTCGCTCTGTGTATTAAACAACCTGCATGACAGATTCCTTCTTAATAAAGGTGGTTTCCCGTGATGTAGAAAACAAGCTAAAATCACATTAGCATTCGTTAATGGAAGGAAATGAGGAAAGAGGCAATGAATAAAGGAAAAGAGGAAGGTAAGAAGGAAGGAGGGAAGAAGGAAAGAATAAAAGGAAGAAAAGGATGAAATAAAGAAATAAAGAAGAAAGGAAGGAAGGATGGAAGGAATAATTGAATGATGTATGGGAAGGAAGAAAGGATAAATGGATGAATGAATACAATGAATGACAGAATAATAAAAGGAATTAATTATGGAAGGAAAGATGGATGGGTGAAAAGAAAGGGAAGGAATGATGGATGGATGGATGGATGGATGGATGGATGGATAGATGAATTGATAGATGAAAAGAAAGAAAAAAGATAGAATGATGAAAGGAATGAATGGTGGTAGGAAGGATAGAAGGAATGAAAGAAATAAATAAAAGGAAGGATGGATGGATGGATTAATTAGTTGATAGAAGGAAGGGTGGATGAGTGGATAGAATGATGAAATGACTGAATGATAGATGGAAGGAAGGAAGGATTAATGGATGGAATGATAGAATGATAAAAGGAATGAATTATGGAAGGAAAGATGGATAGATGAATGAAAAGAAGTATGGAATGTAGGATAGATAGATGGATGAATGAATTAATAGAAGGAAGGATTGCTGGATAGAATGATAGAATGATGAAAGGAATGAATGATAGAAGGATGGGCAGATGAATGATAGGAATAAAGGAAGTAAGAAAGAAAAAAGAAGGATGGATGGACGAATGGAAGGAAGAAAGGAATAAAGGATGGATGATGGATGGATGGATGAATTATTGGATGGATGGAAGGATTGAAGAATGGAATGATAGAATGGTGAAAGGAATAATTGATGGATGGATGAATGGAAGGAATGAAGAGAAAGAAAGAAGGAT